TGTGCCCTGTGTGTCACACCTGGGCTCTCAGGCTGCTGGCACTGCCCTGCTGTGCCCTGTGTGTCACACCTGGGCTCTCAGGCTGCTGGCACTGCCCTGCTGTGCCCTGGGTGTCACACCTGGGCTCTCAGGCTGCTGGCACTGCCCTGCTGTGCCCTGGGTGTCACACCTGGGCTCTCAGGCTGCTGGCACTGCCCTGCTGTGCCCTGGGTGTCACACCTGGGCTCTCAGGCTGCTGGCACTGCCCTGCTGTGCCCTGGGTGTCACACCTGGGCTCTCAGGCTGCTGGCACTGCCCTGCTGTGCCCTGGGTGTCACACCTGGGCTCTCAGGCTGCTGGCACTGCCCTGCTGTGCCCTGGGTGTCACACCTGGGCTCTCAGGCTGCTGGCACTGCCCTGCTGTGCCCTGGGTGTCACACCTGGGCTCTCAGGCTGCTGGCACTGCCCTGCTGTGCCCTGGGTGTCACACCTGGGCTCTCAGGCTGCTGGCACTGCCCTGCTGTGCCCTGGGTGTCACACCTGGGCTCTCAGGCTGCTGGCACTGCCCTGCTGTGCCCTGGGTGTCACACAGGTGTCTCTGGGACCCGTCTGAGTTGTCCCTGTGCTGGCAGGGGCTCAGGGTGGTGGCCATCAGCCCAGGGCTGGAGCTGTTCTTCCCCCTCCTGAGCAGCAGCCTGGGGAAAAGGAGCCTCAGGGGGAATTTCTGGCTCTGCAGAACCCCCTGAAAGGTTGGAACCGGCTGGGAGTTGGGATCTGCTCCCAGGGAGCAGGGGCAGGAGGAGAGGGGAGGCTCAGGGTGGGCATCAGCAGGAATTTCCTCATGGAAAGGGGGCTCAGGCACTGGAAGTGCCCAGGGCAGGGGTGGAGTCCCCCTCCCTGCAGGAATTTCAGAGCCCTGTGGATGTGACACTTGGGGACAGGGGCAGTGGTGGCCCTGGCAGTGCTGGGATGGTTGGAGTGGTCTCAGAATTCCAAGCTGAGCCATTCTGGGGCTGTGTGATCGGGGCTGGGGTGGGTGCAGCAGCTGGCAGGGCTTGTTCCATGCTCTCCTCTCCAGAAGGTGCCTGCAGGTGCTGTCCTGGCCCTGGTGACTCCAGGCTGTGCCCAGGAGCCCCTTGGCAGAGGGCTGGAGGGGCTGGACCCAAAGCCAGCAGTGATCCCAGGGATGGGGGCTCAGCCCAGCTGGGGTGGCACATGCACAGCCCCCCCAGGCTGAGGGACCAGCCCTGGCCCTTTCCCAGCTGGAATCCCATCCCCTGTCCCTTTCCCTGTCCCTTTCCCTGTCCCTTTCCCTGTCCCATTCCCTGGCCCATTCCCTGTCCCTTTCCCAGCTGGAATCCCATTCCCTGTCCCTTTCCCTGTCCCTTTCCCTGACCCATCCCCTGGCCCTTTCCCAGCTGGAATCCCATTCCCTGTCCCTTTCCCTGTCCCTTTCCCTGACCCATCCCCTGGCCCTTTCCCAGCTGGAATCCCATTCCCTGTCCCTTTCCCTGTCCCTTTCCCTGACCCATCCCCTGGCCCTTTCCCAGCTGGAATCCCATTCCCTGTCCCTTTCCCTGTCCCTTTCCCTGACCCATCCTCTGGCCCTTTCCCAGCTGGAATCCCATTCCCTGGCCCATCCCCTGTCCCCCCCACAGCTGGAGCCCTGTTCCCAGCTGTTCCCAGCTGTGCTGCCCTGCCCAGGCTGGGCCCTGTCCCAGCTGTTCCCAGCTATTTCCAGCTGTGCTGCCCAGCCTGTGCTGTCCCTGTCCCAGCTGTTCCCAGCTGTTTCCAGCTGTGCTGCCCTGCCCAGGACGTGCTGTCCCTGTCCCTGTCCCTGTCCCTGTCCCTGTCCCTGTCCCTGTCCCAGCTGTTCCCAGCTGTTCCCAGCTGTTCCCAGCCGTGCTGCCCTGCCCAGGCCCTGCTGTCCCTGTCCCTATCCCTGCCCCAGCTGTTCCCAGCTGTTCCCAGCTGTTCCCAGCTGTTCCCAGCCATGCTGCCCTGCCCAGGCCGTGCTGTCCCTGTCCCCAGGGCTGCAGGAGCTGCTGCTGCTGGCAGGGCTGAGCTCTGAGCACATCCTGCTGCAGATGGTCTGTCTGGCACCCCTCGGTGAGAGCTCAGACCCCAGCAGCCACCACTAGAAGTGCTCGAGGGTTTTCCCTCCCAGGAAAGGGACTCTGGAAGGAATGAGACACTCTGGGGGAAAAAAAAAACAAACCAAAAAAACCCCGTGGTTGTGGGTTTGTTTTTAATCAGGGATGCTGTAAAATCTCGAGTGACACTTCATCCCACAGGCAGCAGCAGAGACAGCAAAGCACCAATAAACATGGAAACAGGGGCACAACCTTGCAGAGAGCTGGGGCTGCTGTGGAGGAGGAGCTGAAGGGAAATGTTGGCATCAGCAGCATGGATGGGGCTGTGATTTAGGGAAATGTTGGTATCAGAGCCATGGATGGAGCTGTGATTTAGGGAAATGTTGGTATCAGAGCCATGGATGGGGCTGTGATTTAGGGAAATGTTGGTATCAGAGCCATGGATGGGGCTGTGATTTAGGGAAATGTTGGTATCAGAGCCATGGATGGGGCTGTGATTTAGGGAAATGTTGGTATCAGAGCCATGGATGGGGCTGTGATTTAGGGAAATGTTGGTATCAGAGCCATGGATGGAGCTGTGGAGAAGGGAAATGTTGGTATCAGAGCCATGGATGGAGCTGTGATTTAGGGAAATGTTGGTATCAGCAGCATGGATGGGGCTGTGATTTAGGGAAATGTTGGTATCAGAGCCATGGATGGAGCTGTGGAGAAGGGAAATGAAGGGAAATGTTGGTATCAGAGCCATGGATGGAGCTGTGATTTAGGGAAATGTTGGTATCAGAGCCATGGATGGGGCTGTGATTTAGGGAAATGTTGGTATCAGAGCCCTGGATGGGGCTGTGATTTAGGGAAATGTTGGTATCAGAGCCCTGGATGGGGCTGTGATTTAGGGAAATGTTGGTATCAGAGCCCTGGATGGGGCTGTGATTTAGGGAAATGTTGGTATCAGAGCCATGGATGGAGCTGCAGGGAGCAGGGAGAGGAGCTGGAGCTGCCTGGCACTTGGAGCTGCTGATGTGGCAAATTTTGCTCCAAAAACCTGGATTTTTGCAGGTTCTGGTTAAAAGAACCTGCCTGACTGTTCCAGAAGGAAGAGGAGGCAACCCTGGATTTTCCCTAATTTTGGGGCTGTTTGGTGAAGGCACCTGAGCAGCTCAGAGCTGTGTGGAAGGATCTCCTGAGTTGGGTTTAACTGTTTGTTCACTTTCTGTGCCCCTTTTGTCCCCCTCAGGACTTTCTCCTTTCTTGCTCTATAATAGTATATATTATTATACATACTCTATAATAGTATATATTTTTATACATATTATATACTTTCCACACTCCTTTCTCTGCAAAAGTTCCTGTTGGACATATTACAATATATTTTTCACAGTTCTATTTTTTTTAAGTATTTAGTCTTATTTGTAAGGTCATCTTTTGAAACTTATTTCTAGCTCTGTTTTCTCTCAGCAATGCCTGTCCTATTCCATAGTAGTTTAAAGTTAGTATTTCTTCTCTTAAAGTTTGCATACAGATGTATATGTTTTTTCTCTCATCAATGTCTCATTCTATATATTTTTAAGTTAGTATTTTTACTCTCAAAGTTTGCATGCAGATACATACTGTGTAAACTTTCTGTTAAGTTTTGAACATTTTTTACAAATCTGTTTCCCACAGTTCCCCTCTGTCCCCATGGAGCTGGGAGAGGGAATTTGTGGAGACTGAGATTTTTTTAAAAGCCAGCCTGAGCTTTTTTGTTTGCTGTTTGTTACCATTCTAAACAAGATGGGATCTGGCCAGGGTTGTTATAGTAACTACTGAGATTTCCTCAAGAGAAGGGGAAAAAATAGCAGCAGCCCCATTCATGCCTTGCTGCAGCTCTCCATTCAGAGCTGCTCTGGGAGAGGGGAGGGAACTGCAGGGACAAAACCACGTCCCTGTAATGAGCACAATTATATAACATTTAATTATATATATTTAATTATGCATCATTATATGTCGTTATATTTATAAATAGGAATAGTAGTTAATGTAATAGAAATAATGGTTAATATAATGCAATATATAGAATAGAGAATATAATAATATAATATAGTATATAATAATATAATATAGCATAATATGGTATATAATATAGTATACAATAAATAATATTATATACTATAGTATACAATAATAGTTATAATAATATATAATATTATATATAATATATTATATTATATATATTATATTATATATTATATATATTATATCATTTACATAATATATATAATGTATAATATATATTATATATAATACAATATAATATAATGCAATCTTATATTATAAATAATATATTTATATATTATATAATATATACATTTCTATTTAATTATATGTAATTATATTTATAAATAGAAACAGTGAATAATATAATGTAATGTAACATAAATAATAGTTAATATAATATAAAGCAATATATCTAATAGATAAAGTCATATAATATAATGCAAGATTAAATTACATATTATATAATTATGTGATATATAATTAGATATTTCATTATATATAATTACATTTATAAATTGTAGTTTATATAATGTAAAATAAATTGTAGTTAATATAATGCAATATATCTAATAGATAAAGTAATATAATGAGATATGATATAATAATATAATATAATATAATATAATATAATATAATATAATATAATATAATATAATATAATATAATATAATATAATATAATATAATATAATATAATATAATATAATATAATATAATATAATATAATATAATATAATATAATATAATATAATATAATATAAATTTTTTTAGCACCCTGGGCCAGTGGGAGGTGTCCCTGCCCATGCAGGTGGACAATCCCTGAGGCCCTTTTCCCCCACGGTTCCCTGATGTGATTTCCTGGATCACCCCGTTTATTCTGTACCTGTTTCCCCCGCAGAGCCGCCTGAAGGAGGCAGTGCAGCTGCTGGAGGATTACAAACACGGCACTCTGCCCCCAGGAGTCACCAACAAACAGGTCAGAGGGAAAAACCCTTCCAGTTCTGCTTCTTCCCTGGGGAGGGCTCTGCTCAAGGGCATTTCTGCTGTTTCTGGGGGCAAACACCAACTGCTCATGCTATTAAAGAGAAAAAAATGTCATTTTTTAGCTGATTAAAGTCTTTTGTCACTCCTGTGAGTTCTTTAGCAGCAGCTGTATGGCTCAACCCCTGCCCTGTTCCTGTGCAATAATTTCCATTTCTGCCCAGATCCCAACCTTGGCTGGGCTGTTCCTGTACAATAATTTCCATTTCTGCCCAGATCCCAACCATGTCTGGGCTGTTTCTGTACAATAATTTCCATTTCTGCCCAGATCCCAATCTCATCTGGGCTGTTCCTGTACAATAATTTCCATTTCTGCCCAGATCCCAGCCTTGTCTGGGCTGTTCCTGTACAATAATTTCAATTTCTGCCCAGATCCCAGCCTTGTCTGGGCTGTTCCTGTACAATAATTTCCATTTCTGCCCAGATCCCAGCCTTGTCTGGGCTGTTCCTGTACAATAATTTCCATTTCTGCCCAGATCCCAGCCTTGTCTGGGCTGTTCCTGTACAATAATTTCCATTTCTGCCCCCATCCCAGCCCCTGCTGGAGCTGTGCCAGCAGCAGTGGGGACATTCCTGCCCCAGGGATGGCAGCAGGAGGGTGTGGAATGCCCAGGGATGGGGTTCCTGAGGAAAGGATCATTTCTGGGGATTTGGGATGTAGGGATGGCCTGGGTGATCTCTCCAAGACCACATCAGTCCCATTTTCTGGGCTTTTCCCCCATATTCCTCTGCACATGCAACTTATGGGAGCAGGGATGAGGATTTATGGGAATCAACCTGCTCTTTAAGTATTTTACCTGCAAGTCAGTGCTGTGAAACAAAAAACATCCATTTTTTTGTGGGTGTTACCTGAAAATTTTCCCCATTTCTGTCCATGTTTTTTGCCTGAAATATGGAGGTTTATTCCCATAATATGGAGGTTTTGCCCAGAATATGGAGGGTTTTGCCCATAATATGAAGGGGTTTGCCTGAAATATGGAGGTTTTTACCTGAAATGTGGAATTTTTGCCCAGAATATGGAGGTTTATACCCATAATATGGAGGTTTTGTCCAGGATACGGAGGTTTTTACCTGAAATACTGAGTTTTTGCCCAGGATATGGAGGTTTTTGCCGATAATATGGAGATTTTGCCCAGGATATGGAGGTTTTTACCTGAAATGTGGAATTTTTGCCCAGGATATGGAGGTTTTTACCCATAAAATGGAGGTTTTTACCCATAAAATGGAGGTTTTTACCTGAAATATGGAGGTTTTACCTGGAATATGGAGATTTTTAACCCATAATATGGAGGTTTTTACCTGAAATATGGAGGTTTTACCTGAAATATGGAGGTTTTTACCCATAATATGGAGGTTTTTACCCATAACCTGGAGGTTTTGCCCAGGTTGTTCCTGGCTGCTGCCAAAGCTGGAGAGCACAGACTCCACTGGGTGTGGGAGTCCTGTCTTGACCATGACACCAACCCAGGGGCTTTTGAATGCTCAGTTTGTGCATCCAGCACAAAAGGACCCAGTTCTGTGTGATTTAATGTCCTGTACAGGTGAATTAATGTCAGGGCTGCCTGAGGGGATGCACTCCCAAATAAACAGGGATGGAAGGGCTGGGATGGGAGCTTTTCCCCCACACCCTGTGGATCAAAAACCCTCTTTTACCTTTTTTTCCCCGTTTACAAGTGATAATTTCTTCTCCTCAAGCACAAATACAGGAGGCAAATGAAGGAAATTGAAACTCCTGCTCGCTTCAGAAGGGGCAGCTGGTGTGGAAGGTGCTGTGCTGGGGAAGAGGAACAGCTCCCACAGAAAATTAATGGGAAATTGTCACAAGGCAGTGGCTGGGGCTCTCCTGGTGTCACTGTGCTCTTCCAGGCAGCATCTGATGGGGAGGAGAAGGGATTGGGAAGGAGAAGGGATTGAGAAGGTGGAGGGATTGACTGAGGAGGAGAAGGGATTGGGAGGAAGAAGAGGTTGGGGAGGAGAAGGAATTGGGGAGGAGGAAGGGATTGGGAAGAAGAAAGGATGGGAAGGAGGAGGGATTGGGAAGGAGAAGGGATGGAGAGAGAAGGAATTGATTGGGGAGGAGAAGGGATTGAGAAAGAGGAAGGGATGGGAAGGAGAAGGGACTGGAGGGAAGGGACTGGGAAGGAGAAGGGTTTGGGAAGGAAGGAGGGATTGGTAAGAAGAGACTGGGAAGGAGAAGAGGTTGAGGAGGAGAAAGGATGGGAAGGAGAAGGGATTGGGAGGAAGGGAGGGATTGGGAAGGAGAAGGGACTGGGGAGGAGAAGTGGTTGGGAAGGAGAAGAGATGGGAAGGTAAAAGGGATGGGAAGGAGAAAGGGTTGGGAAGGAGAAAGGGTTGGGAAGGAGAAAGGGATGGGAAGGAAAAGGGACTGGGAGGGAGGGATTGGGAAGAAGAAGGGATGGGAAGGAGAAGGGACTGGGGGAAGGGAATTTGGAAGGAGAAAGGGTTGGGAAGGAAAGAGAGATTGGTAAGAAGGGGGTGGGGAGGGGAAGAGGCTGGGGAGGAGAAGGGATGGGAAGGAGGGAGGGATTGGGAAGGAGAAGAGGTTGGGGAGGAAGAAGGGTTGGAAAGTAGGGATTGGGGGAGGAGAAGGGAATGGGAAGAAGAAAGGATGGGAAGGAGAAGGGATTGGGAAGGAGAAAGGGATTAGGGAGGAGAAGGGGTTGATTGGGAAGAAGGGACTGGGAAGAAGAGGCTGGGGAGGAGAAGGGGCTGAGGAGGAGAAAGGGTTGGAAAGGAGAAGGGATTGGGAAGGTGGAGGGATTGATTGGGAAGGAGAAGGGACTGAGAAGGAGAAGAGATGGGAAGGTGGAAGGGATGGGAAGGAGAAAGGGTTGGGAAGGAAGGAGGGATTGGTAAGAAGGGACTGGGAAGGAGAAGAGGCTGGGGAGGAGAAAGGATGGGAAGAAGAAGGGATTGATTTGGAAGGAGAAAGGATTGGGAAGGAGAAAGGATGGGAAGGAGGAAAAGATGGGAAGGAGAAAGGATTGTTTGGGAAGGAGAAGGGATTGTTTGGGAAGGAGAGGGGATTGTTTGGGAAGGAGAGGGGATTGTTTGGGAAGGAGAGGGGATTGTTTGGGAAGGAGGAGGGAAGGGAAGGGAAGGAGAGATTGGGAGGGAGCAGGAGTGAGGCAGCAGCAGTGACTCAGCCCCATCTGCCCGAGGCAGATGACACACAGGCACTCTCTGTGACAAATGACACACAGGCACTCTCTGTGACAAATGACACACAGGCACTCTCTGTGACAAACCACTTTGCAGACTTTTGACCCACATTTTGCAGAGTGACAAAGCCAAGCTCTTCCCAGGGTTCATTCAGAATTCCAGTGGGGGAGAGGCTGAGCAGGCTGGGAGGGAATCCAGGTGAGGGAGGGGAAGGAAATGGTGGGAAAAGGCCTTTCCTGGGAAATGTTCTCTCCTGAGGACAATGGGTTTGTGTGAAACAGCTCCCCTTGCTTCCAGCAGTGTCAGGGGGGTTTGGGTGGGACTGCAGCCAGAGCTGCCTGTGTTTAATGACTGCATTAATTAACCAGAGCACAGAGTGAGCACCTGCACCCCTGGAGTGCCCCAGGGCAGCTGGACAGGGCCTGGAGCACCCTGGGAGCTCCATGTCCCTGCCATGGCAGGGCTGGAACAGCCTCAAGGTCCCTCCAACCCGGAGCATTCCAGATTCCATGGGCAGGTGCCAGGCTGGGATGTTGGGATGTTGTCCCAGGGTGCCACAGGCACGGTGAGGAGGATGAGGATGGAGGGACAGGCAGCAGGGACCTCGGGGAGCCCAGGGGGACACACAGGGCCACAGCTCTGGGGTGGCTGCAGCTGCCCTGGTGGGCTGGGGAGGGATCCCTGGAGCAGCAGGGAGATGGGGCAGTGGAATCATGGGCAGGATGGAAAACCCTCTGAGATCAACCATTGCAGCCATTCCCCAGCCCTGCCACCACTGCCCCATGTCCCCAGGTGTCACAGCCACAGGGCTGTGAAATCCCCCCAGGGATGGGGACTCCACCCTGCCCTTTCCAGGATGGAATTCTCCCAGTGGAATTCTCCCAGTGGAATTCTCCCCTGAGGCTGTTCCCTCTCCTCCTGTCCCTGTTCCTGGGATCAGAGCCCCAAGCCCCTCACTCCCATTGTCCCCACCCCAAATTTGATCCAAAGCCACCTGGAAAATGCATTTTTGCTGTCCTGGAGCTGGGGCTGAGACTTTTCCTGGCTTTTCCTGCCCCACTCTCTGCAGGATGGGCTCTGGCTGAGGGGCAGTGACACTGTGCAGTTTTCTGGTGCTAATCTGGGGAAGGGGAGCTCTGGAGAGGAGCCTGGTTTGGGCACAGCTGCAGGGCTTGGTGCTGGCATGAGGGAACAGCCACTCCAGTGTGGCACTGCTGGGGTGGCCACATGTGGCAGGGCACCAGCACAGGGAGGCAAATCTGATTCTGACTCATTTTTGGGGGGTTTTACCCCTCTCTGACCGGGATCTGAGCTGATCCCTTTGTGTCCCCGTTGGCAAGGAGGGGGTGTTGGAGCTGTGACCTGGGAACACGGGGTCTGAGAGAGGATAAATCACATTTATTGCTCATCAGAAGGTCTGGGTGGCACCTCAGTGATCTCCAGGCAGAACTGACTTTATCTCCTTCAAGAACTGCTGGGGTGGTGTTTGCAGGTCCCAGGATGAGGGAGGAGATGAGAATCTTGACTCCGTGTTTCAGGAGGCTGATTTATTTATTTTTTTTTTAATTATTTAATTTTATTATATATATTATATGAAAATAAAATGATATATTAAAACTATACTAAAGAATAGAAGAAAGGATTTCATCAGAAAGCTTGAATGGAAAGGAATGAATGATAATAAAATCTTGTGGCTGCTCACAGCCTCGACACAGGTGGCTGTCATTGGTCATCAAGTAAAAACAATTCACA